TTTTCCAGTTTGGATAGAAAGCAAACCGGGTAGACGGGTCCGAGTGTCTCCCATCCCTCTCCCCTTCCACCAAACAACACATGGAGGTAGGAAAGGGAGGAGGGGCCATTCCGCGCTAGAAGTGAAGCACTGCTTTGAAGCTTGGTCACCAGACGGGGTGTTCTTTGTTTACATTCAGAAGCTCGTTTGACAAGATTCTGATAGCATTTCGACACACGACAGTTCCATAGAAATCGAAAAAGGGACACTCTCGCATGAAAGAAACATTCATAGTGTGATGGATAATAGCAATTTGTATAGTTTACTGACATTTACGCAAAAATCACATCTTGGTTATTTTTCGATAACTAACAACAGCGATTTTGATTATGAATTTGTTTTATAAAATTCTAAGCTGTTGAACTACAAAAATATAGATTTTAAGAAAATTGCTAAAAGAGATCTGCCAAAATTTATTTTCTAGAAGATTTGAAAAGTTTGAAACTTGATGGCTAAATGTAAATATAAAATTATGTATGTTAAAATATTTGTAATTAGGCACATAGGTCAGATTAAGTTTTATTAAATAGAGTAACGCATGCAAGGGCTATCTGCCTAAAGAGAGAGATGCCATCGTGGAGGAATTTTGAAGAAAAACTGACCTTTGAGTGGGTATTAAAAATAATACTTATAATTTTCATTCAAATTATATTCATATATATTTTTTATGTAAAACTTTCGGGTGTATGCTAAATTAGTGTAAATTCTTTACACGAAAAATATATTCAATGCACAGAAATTAAAGATTTGCACATGCCGGAAATGATAAATAGGAAATATGTATGGGTATTTATGCATGTGCTTGCAAAAAGCATGTATCTGCGTTTGACAAAATACTTAAATATTCATTAAATTATTTATAAATGTATTTGAAATGAAGAATTTATTCACTTATAAACAACTGTGAAAGTACTGTGAAGAAATCTTATGATTAAATGTATCTAATTTATAATGATTATAAATGTTATCTAAATATATAATAACCTTAATATTGAATTGTAAACATAAATTGAAATCCTGTTGACAAATACGTTATAAAACTATTTAAGCAAGAATTGTTCGTATTGGAAAGCAATCTGTTAAAAGGTAGCAAATGCTATGAGATGCGCACTTAAGAAAGTAATAAAGAGTTTTGGAATATGTATTGTTGAAATGAAAGGTAAAAAAAATCTGATAAGTATAATTAAAAGAATTATTCCCTTTACATTTTATAATAACTCAGTTACAAGTTTTAAATAATACTTAAAAAAAAAAAAAAAAAAAAAAAAAAACTTATTTTATTCCCTTCAGAAATGTTCAGAGTCAAATACTATTAATACCTACTTAATTATTAGGAATTAGCGAAATACTTATTTAAAGTATTTCGCTAATTCCTAATAATTCTCTAATTTAAAATGAACCGAATAGAGCATTAATTATAAATTGACTTACACTTTTCGATTTAAAAGAAGCCAAAAAACCATGTCATATTTAAGAAAGTATTTTAGGAAGAAGCTCTATAAATAGAAAAGAAATAATGCATAATTTTAATATTAATAATACAATAAACTTTGATCTTAATTTTTGTACCTTAACCGAATAAAATCGAATTACCTTAATTTTTTTTTTAATGTAATTAACGAAAACTTGTGAAAATATTTCATTCAAATTAAACCATTCTGAGAAAACTGTCCTGTGAAAAGTATAGCATTTAATTCCGTTCAGAATGAAATGGTTGTTTAAAAATATGTTTTTTCACATACTTAGGACTCTGAAGTGTTGTAGAAAAAGAAAATATATACATTTATATGTATATTTGCGACGTAATTACAAAATATTTACACCCGAACGCGTCAAATCCCATAGAACTCAATGGTAAATGACCCAATGTTTTGGTCACCACGTAGGGATCGCCGGTGCTTCAGAGCAGGGTACGGAGAAACTTGTTTAGGGCGACTCCATCTTACTTCCTACCTCCATGAAACAACATGAGAGTGCTTCCGGCTCGCCGCATATTTAGAGTGCGGCCATGCCGAACTATACATTTGCAAACATCCATGCCTTCTACGGGATTCGAACCTGAGCACCTCGGCACCACAGTCAGGACGCTAACCACTATTCCAATTGGGCGGCAGGATCCACTGTTTACATTTCGCTTTCAAATATTGTTTGAGTCAATTAATATTTTTGGTGAAGATATCTAAAACTGCGAAGATACTTTTTTAAATGATTACATTCCAAGGGAAAAGAAGAAGAAAAAAAGACTGAAAAGGTACCATTTGTTTATATTATTATCCCGAATACCTGCAACAGGAATGAAAAATGATAAAATGGCGTGCTAGGATTTTTATTGCTACCTCCAGAAAGCTGAAGTAGAAAAGGTTAAAGTGGGCCCTCTCTTTGCAAAATTGTATATGCTTTATTCCTGAAAAGGGAAAGTGATATGTCAGCTGATTCAAGCAAGGCGATTTCCGAATTTTTAGATGCACCGCGAAGTTTGCCATTAGCACTTCGGCGATTGCGAGGCCAAGCAATTGTCTTTCCAAACACGAGCTATATCTGTTAGTCATAAATTTTGTAATGTGACTGGAAACTGGAATGCGAGATGGGAACGTTGACGAATGTCAAAAAATTAATGTTAGAAAATTTATCTAATAATGATTAGCAGACAGTATTATTCAGGGAGTAAATATTCGAGCTTGAGAAAAGAAGGTTACAAATGATTGTCTAGTACCAGGGTACTCAACCCAGTGCCCGCGGGACAGAGGTGCCCGAGGCGACCTTGCACAGCGCCCGCCAAGCGTCGCGAATTTTTCTTTTTGCTGCAACAGTCTTTCTTGGGATTTACATAGAGAGGGTTCGGCAGGGAAAGGGTTAGAAACTTGGTTGGCCTTGTCTTGGGTTTCGGAAACATCACGGGTGATGGCGTGTCTTAACTTGATCCTTTTTATCGCCTCTGCCCGGTTTAAAATGACAATTCGAACGCCCACGATATTACAAGACTCACCATACCAGAAAGGACTGACAATGAGTGACAAAAATGGAGGGAACTGCAGATCAGAGTCGCCCCTTGACTCGACTGTATGACACAATTATATTAAGTATTTAACAAGGTGCAAAGGGCAACTTTTGACCCGCGTTCTTCACCAGTCTGCTTTGAGCTTTTGGCAGTGACAGTGTTAATGGTGCATCCAGTCTTGTTCGGCAACCTCATTCTGCGTCGGGGCTTAGCCATTTGTTTTTTTTTTTTTTTTTTTTTTTTTTTTTTTTTTACCGCTGCAGCACGATGAATAGGCCCAGAAAAAGGCAGAAGATATACAATTACAATTCCAGCTGGGAAGAAACGTATTGCGTTTTTTGATGTGAAAGGGAAGGGCATGTGTTTACTGTGTGATGCTTCTATAGCATTGGCCAAGAAACATAATGTGGAAGGTCACTTTCAGACGAATCATGGAACATTTCTAACGAACTACCCGGAGGGTTTAGAAATTAGGAAGAAGAAATATGTGAGCTGTAATTGAAGCTTTCAGCGCAGCAATCAGTATTTGTTAGGCCAGTTTCAAAGTCCAAAAAATGCAACAACTGCTTCGTTTAAAATTGCCCACTTGCTGGCGAAGAAGAAAAAACCATTTCAAGACGGTTAGTTGCTGAAGGAAGCATTTCTTGCAGGTGCCGAAAGCCTCTTTGACGGAGGCTTTTCTCTAACAAGAGTGAAATCATCAATGCGATTCAGGACGTTCAGTGATCAGACAGCACTGTTTTAAGGAGAACAGAAGCAATTGCTGATAACATGCAATCTCAACTGAAGAGAGACTTGAAAACATGTGAATTGGGTTTTCTCTCCAATTTGATAAGTCCACGGATATTTCCGATACGTGGCAGTTAGCTGTTATGTTAAGAAGGGTATTTAAAGAATTTTTTGTTAAAGAATTATTAGAAATTCTATCTTTGAAGATGAGAATGCGAGGAGAGGACATTTACAACTTTTTAAAGACGTTTGCGACATAAATTCGCTTACCGCTGAAAAAGTTATCGGCGATTACCACAGACGGAGCACCTGTTAGGACAAGAAGAACCAACGGTTTTTTAGCAAGAAATATGAGTGTTTTCCAAGCTTCATGTCTTATCACTGCATCATTCATCAAGAAGCGTTCTGCGTAAAGATACTTCCATTTGAACACGTCACGAATATTGTCACGTCGATTATCAATTCTATTCGTGCGGCTCCTTTGCAACACCGGCTTTTTAAAGCACTGCTGGAAGACTCCGAAGATAAAACAGTCCACCTCATTTTGCATGCAGAAGTCCGATGGCTCAGCAGAGGTAAAGTTCTATCAAGGTTTTTATCTCTAATCGAGCAGATAAAAGAGTTCATGCAATCTAACTCTGACAAATTCAGTAAACACAGTAAACACGTTGAAAAACTAAGTGACTCTTTGTGGCTACTTGATCTGGCTTTCCTCGCTGATACCACTGAGAAACTCAACATTTTAAATCTGGATCTTCAGTGTAAAGTCAAGAAGCTGGCTCAAATAATGGGATATGGAAAGCTTTTAAAGCCAAATTGCCATTATGGATGTCTCAAATGAGATCAAAGTCCTTGGTTCATTTTCCCAACATGAAAAAAATGCCGAATGACGACAATTTGTGATGCTTGTGATTTTTCGAGACGCTTCTGGACCAATTTGAAAAGCGATTTCAAGATTTCAGTTGCCTAGAGCCAGTGGCGAGCTTTTTTGGCCAATCTATTCTCCATTCACCACAAACGCAGAAAACGCCACAGAAATTGCAAGAATTATTGCCGCACAAGTGGACAACCTCGAGCTGGAAATATTCGAACTGAAGAATGATAGTATCCTGCTACAGATGTAGACCTCTGGAAATTTGTGGAAAAGAACAGGTTTCAATTATTAAGAGGTTATGCATATAAAATCAAATCTTGTTTTGGGTCTGCCTACCTCTTCGAATATTTATTTTCAACCATGAACGTTATCAAGTCGAAGAACTGGAGCAGGCTCACTGATTCGCATCTTAACAATTGCTTGCGTGCGGGAACCTCAGCGCATGCACCTAACGTACCTAACGTATATGCTGGTGGACGAAATTCAGTGTCAAAAATTGGGCTACACCGTAAACAGAAGAGACATGACTATATTGTAAGTAATAAAAACTTTGAGCATGAAATGTGTATTTTGTTTCTAACTGGATTCATTTTTTCGATGTTAGGAAGCATTTTCTTCTTACCGGGTAGCGTTAACTAGTAATGTGATAATATCGCCAAGGATGGCTTGAAAATCACCCGGGATGAAAATATTATATGGTGCCCGCTTCGCTTTCTGAAACTGCGTTGTGTGACCCCAGCACCAAAAAAGGTTGAGTACCACTGGTCTAGTAGTTGTGAAAGAGGCGCATGAGGCAAAGAAGGCCAAGGAAAAAATTTTAAATTATTAAAACATTTAAAATTTATTAAATTTAAAAAAGGAACCGCTATTCTACACAAATGAATCCTACATAATTCTTCCCCATGTACTTTCCTTGTTTTATAAAGGTATGGAAAATGTAAAAAATTTGAATTTTACTCAATTTAAAAAATATATTGATAAAATAAATATAAATATTCAAGAGTTTTAATTATGCATTTAATTTAAATTTTTACTATGTGATTTTAAACTCCTTTCTTAAATTTGTTTTTTACTAAATGTAGATTTTGATTTTAGTTTTAATTAAGAACTTCTAACGTTAAGCAAAAGTTTCCTGGTCTGCTCTCCTCCTGCTTCACCTTCTTATTATTATTATGGTTATTGTTACTCTTATTGTTATTATTATTATTATAGTCAAAAACTTTACTCTTCGTATTTTTCCTGAAAAAATTCAGTAATAATTTTATAAGATGTTCTCACCGAGTTTGCTCCGAATCTTCATTTTAGCAAGATATTTATCTATATTAACCAGATTAACTATCAACAAATTCGTACCATTTATTAGTTTCTTTTTCCTTTTCTTTCCCGTTTTTCTATTTTTACCATTCATATTTACTATCTTGCGTTATTTGATAGCCAAGGCTATTAGGTATTTTGCGTGACATAAAATTTGACGATGAAACGCTTCTCTTTTTCATATTAGCCAAGAAAATGTTACAGCAGTTCGTTTGGTTATCTCAAGGATCTCAAAATCTTAGTAAAAAAATTTCTCAAGTTTCTCATTTTGGTGAAGGTACACAATCGCGGTTTTCCTAATGTCTGAAAATACATCTGAGATCATGTAATTTGCCCGAACTATGTATTTCTGATGATACGCAATCTCAGTCCAAATTGATTTCATTTTATCTCTTGGACTAGTTATTTTATAACACTTAACATCGTGGCTAAAATTAATAAGTATTAATTACTCATTTAAAATGCGGTAATACTGATGTATTTATCAATTTTTTCCTATGTATGGTTTTGAAATGTTCAATAATTGGGATAACAAAATCCTTTTCTTTTATAATGGTTGCTTGCTACATTTAAAAATTACTAAATTTAAAATAATAGTTTTTTTCATGTTTTAATTCATGAAGTTAATATTAATTTGAATTTCAGGAGAAAGAGCACCATTATATATTAGAGTAATGCAAAAAATTGGGGGTGACTATGTGGTTGTTCAGTGACCTTAAACTTGCACGCTGGATATTTGCACAATAGAAAACAGTTGACCCCCACAAGACTGAATGAGGCTGTTAGTCTCATTTCGAGACTAACAGCTCTCGAAATGAGATTTTGCATCGGTTCACTATAAACGGCATATTACTTTTCAAATTGTTGTTACCAAATATTATCATCTGCATTATTTTTAAAGAAATTGAGTAATGAAGAATCTGCATGCATGTATTTTCCTCGCACTGGGGGTGATAAAACGACGGTACCTAGAGCCATCTAATTTTGAAAAGCTTTGTCCTCCATGTGCATCTGGAAGCCCGAATTTTGAATTTCGAATTTGTTTTATTATTGCTACTAATTGAAATCGTTGAATATTTTAATAAAAAATTCGTTAAAGTTTCCATGAAACGGATGATTAAACAAATTAGAAATTCAAAATTCCTGCTTTCCAGGTGCCCATATTCGGGTGAAGGAGGACTGCGATATTCAAAATTTGACGGCTCTAGGTACTGTTGCTTTTACACAGAGCGAGAAACGCACATACATTCATGCAGGTTCTTCATTATTTAATTTCTTTAAATATAATACAGAGCGACAATATTTGGTGGCAACAATTTGAAAAGTGATTCAACGCTTTTATTGATTCGACGCAAAATCTCATTTCGAGACTAATAGCCGTTCTATGCCAGCGCCGCTTTAAACGGTTAGCAGGAGTGAATGAAAAAGCAAATTAGTGGACTGCAAGCTCAGCAAGAGCCTAAAAAAACCTTAACAAACCATTTTGGTCGACTGTTAAAATAAGAAACCTTTCAGATTTTTTTCTCCTTCTCCGCGCCTTTTTCTTTTAAACAAAACAAAATTTTTCAGCTGAATTTAAAATGATTTTGATATATATTTGTCAAAACCTATAATAAAATAACGCAGAGAAAAATTCAAATGTATGTCCTACTTTCTTAACAACTTATTAATTTTGAACTACGGAGGGAAAAAACTGTTTACATGTAAATGCTCTTCCAAACAAAGCAGTTATTCTTATTCCAATTATTCGTAGCTGAAGATTTTTAGCTATCTGATAATAATTAAACAAATATTACCTTCAAATCTTTGAATAAGATTTATATCACAGTGTAAATTAATTAACTTCAATTCTAGATGTTCTGGAGTGCTAATCACGTTCATTTTAGGTAACGAAAAGAAACTTTTTTTTTTTTTTTTCAAATTGTTGCAATAATAATACTGATTAATTTACTAGAAATGTATTGTATAAAATTGCTTAGCATGTGGCCCACGAGGCTACTTTGAAACCGCTGTAGTAGTTTACCTCTCTTTCTATTTTCCTCAAGTAACATAGACCAATACTTAGTCGAAACCTGAAAGATATTTGTTTCTGAGTTTAAACGCTTAATACTTTTTTTTTTTTACAAAAATAAATTTAAATTTGATATAATTAATGATATAAATGTAATTTAATCTTTATATTAACACCACTGTCCCTATAATAAGTTTCAATTTTATACATCTATCACAATTTCTGGCCACCAAAAATTTATTTCAAGGTCTGTCATAACTAGTGGCTGAACGGTAAAGTCTCTGAACACTAATACTTCGACTTGGGGATTCGATTCCAGACTAAAGGGCTGACTTCATCGGAATTTTCCCTATGTGTAACGTGTATGTGAAGGCATCACTTCGTTAGGCAGATAGCCCAAACATGATTTGCTATAATCAAATAAAGCAAAATAAAAAAAATATAAATTTATCAGATAATCAGTTCAATTGTAAAACTTTTATCAGATTTTGCTTACTTTTTTGTATTTATTTATTTTATCTATGTTAAATTAGTTCGTGAATTACCTTTCAGGTTAAATCTAAACAAGAACTCGAACTCAAAGTTAAGAGCTTCATTCCACCTTACGTAAGCATTTCCTTCTTCTCAAATGAACATAATTAATATAGTATACAATAAACTGAGAAGAAACTGAGCTTGTATTTTAAGAATCACGTTATGTTTCTTAGGCTGAAGAACCGGAAGTTTATATAAAAGAAGGTGCATATACTCTTGTACGTAGTGCTTCCGCCAGTGCTGATATTGCGCTTTCTCGTGTTACTTCTTCGGTGAACCATTCAGGTAATAAATCCCCCCATCACATAATTCATTTCATATCAAAACGATTTATCTACTAGTAAGTGTTTTCTAAATAGACTGGTTATTACAATCTGATATTTATGAAAAATCAAAGTGTTATTTGAAAAATTTATAAGTTCTATCACAACAGTAAAATGATAAAATTTTTCTCCCAAAGCACTTTACGTGAAGCTCCAGGAATGAAATTTGTTTTGTGCCATGATTGCAAACACAGCATTAATATGATTAATGTAATTGTGGTTAAGGACATCACTCGGATACCGTTATCGAATTCCCGAAGCCCCGCGCGTTTCTACTCGAAAACGTGGAAAGTACATCGCTCATTGTGATCAACAACTAGGTTAATGTCATGATAATGTTACAGAATGAATTTTTCAAACAGAAGTAATTTTTTCAAATGAGGTCAAAATAAAATTTAAAAATTTTCAAATAATTTAAAAATTCCGCTAAATAAGAGATTAAATCAACCAACTGTTTAGTTTTCATTTTATTCAACCATTTAAAATTAGGTCATAAAGCAACCTTTTGTTTAGTTTGGTGCAGATTTAAATAATTCTGCTGATTTCGAGAACGATCAGATACAATCTCTCGTATTCAGGTAGAAGATGATATCTTTCTGAAACAAAGCTAGCATCATATTATAAACTTTCTGAAGAACGTAAAGATGAAATCTATGAATTTTCTGTAACTAATGATATAAGGAGCGCCCTTCAAGTAGGGGTACACTATCAGTCAAATAATTTCTGAACACATTAGCCATTTATCACAAATTTGAAATATTTAAAAATAATATTGCAAAATAATTAAACTATTTTATAATACAATAATATAATGTTATTGCAAAATGCTAATAAAAATTGAGATTAAAAAGTTTTAAATCAATCATTATTAAATAATTTGCTCCGACAGGATAATAAACGAATTACACAATAAAAAATCAAGCAATATTAAACTAATTCTCAAAATTTGAAACCAGAAAAGTAATTCAACAAATTAACAATCAGAAAATCAGAAAACAATTTGGTAAATTAAATAACTTCCAAGAAATGTGCTTTTAGAAAAATCACAAAAATGTAAACAAAAGCAATTTCAAGAAGACAAAATTTCGGGAAATGATACCAAATTATTTTAAAAAGTACTTAAAAGAAAATGAAATAAAAATCATTTAAGATAATTTTACACAAATAAAAAAAATTTAATTAATTTAAATTTGTTTACTTTAACATTCACTTTTTGATTTATTTCATGGAATTATCTTGGCATTCATCCAAATTCAGAAACGTGCTGTTAAAATTTCTTCAGCTACTACTTGAAAAAGACCAAATTTTTCACGGTTTGTTACTTTATTATATCGTTTTGATTTTGTTTCAATTTGGATTTATATTCTTCTTGTTAATCTATTTACATCCTTTATTTATTCATTTTAATTATCTCTTGATCATCAATGAAATAAGATGTAGTACTTTTGATTTATTTCGAAAAATATATATAATAATTTGCAATTTTAGCTGTCTCGAAAGATATAAAAGATCTTTAAAGATCATCTTTTAGTACAAGTGCTTCTGAAGCCGTTATACTGATGTGATATTTCTCTTCAAAACTTAACTATCTTGTGATCTATCTGCACTAAATTTTTCTCAAAGATATGTTTGAGAAACGTTCGAAATACTAAATCTTTGGCTTAAACGTTTGTCTGACTTCTGTTACTGGAGACTTATGTCCTGTAGGTTATTTAATTCGTGTAATTATTTTCGTTTTTGTCTTTAGGAGAATCATCTGCTGAAGATTCAGTTGCTGCTGAATTTCAAAATTCTGCTGTTGAGCATTCTTCTCTTCCAGAAGTTGATAAAAGATCCCTCAGCTTAGACAGAACTGAAGATAGAATTCCGATGGCTTTTGTCGATACAGTTGTTTATCACCAAACACAAAGAAAGCCGTCAAGAAACAGAAACAGCCGACCTCCTACGCCAAGAGTGACAGAAAAAACATTTGTGCCTAAACAGCAAAGGTAAATGTTCTTGAAAAAAGGCTATAGACAAATTTTAATCATAAATTCTAAAGGAAATTTTAATTAGGCTTACTTTATAAACTTTACGTAAGAAATAATTTATGTTAATCATCTATGAATTCTGTTTGGAGTGCTGAAAAAGCTTCAAATCTCTTGAAATATTTTTTTAAAGAAATGCAGTATACTCACGATTATCGAGCTAATTCCAGGGAAGCAGATCATGGATAATCTAAACTATTTTCATGCGTATTATATGTATTTTTTTTTAAATCAGAAAATTTAATTTATTTCTGAGGACATTTAAGTATTCGTCGAATCTCATTGCATACCTTTCAAAGCTCAAGTTGATCATTGTATTTGAATCCCCTTGGTCGATAGCCCACCAGCGGTCGAGTGGTAAAGTCTTGAATGTATACGAGCCAGTTTCTCTTAGAAAGTCCTAACGAAGCCATCCCTCTCCTTAGGCGGATAGCCCTCGAGTGCCATAATGAAAATAAACCAATTCAAATCGATGCAGTCTAATAAGGTTTCAACAGAAGTCACTGTTGTCTCGATACAAACACACTTGTCGGTATATTCTTCTCTTGTTCTGCCTCTTATATTCTTGTGCCATTTAAAACTAATCAACTAAACACTGAAAGACCGGCTCAGTCGAAATGTTATCGACGCACACCTCGATGTTCCATCAACTGACATTTTGGAAGAGTTTTTCGTTATCAATTTTTGGCGTCTAATTTCAGTTATTGCATCGACTTTTTCGCAAACAGATAAATCTCCCATTTCTATGTTAGGAAGGATCTTCCTCCATGATCGAGACTTTTTGTAACTTTTCTTTATTGTAAACCATGGTACTGTAGATTCATTGGTACTTTTCTGGGGGGAAGGAAGCAGGAGACGTGGAAAATGTGAAATGCCCTCGCCAGGACTCGAACTCTAGACCTCTCGAATGTGCGTCGAGTATGCTTCCAATTACCCTACGAAGGTATGCGGAAAGGAAAGAGAAAATACCTTTTAAAGGTATTAAAGGGCGACAGGGGCTCTTTTAAAGGGCGACTGAGGATTAGATACTCAGTCACTAAATCCTGGTTATTTATTTCGTGTAATGATACCAAATTAAAGGTGGTGATGAATTATCATCCACCACATTTTAATTCGGTCGACACTTGAAGAGTCATTAGGTTACTTTAAAGCTGAAGACGTAAAAATTTGCAGTGCCCATGCTAGGACTCGAACCCTGGACCTCTCGTATATGCATCGGGTATGCTTCCAATTTCACCACGAAAGCATGCAGAAAGGATGAAATAAACACTTTATAGTATAACAAAAATCATCGCCTAAGATAAAATACCCATTTAATTGCATATAACAGCAACTGAACTTCTATCAAATATTGTTTTTATCGAGCATGGATAATAATCAGAGGGGAATTTGGGAAATTTCACGAGGAGTCAATGGTTAAGTCCACCTTTCCAATCTAGATATCGAAAATTGGCCTTTAAGACAGAAGCCAACATAAAGATCACTTTAGGAACATTTGCGTGTGGGTAGTTAGGCTTCGACTTTCCGCACAGTTTCAGAAATAACCACGCAGTGAATATTCAGGAATATTTGTTCCAGCCAAGCCTTAACGCCACGGACATCCCATTCAGTACATTCATTGTGCTCCGGAACAAAAGGGTTTGGCTTCCCAGCAAGGAAGACTTTCGCTTTTGGATATGCTGATAAAGAAATAGCTATAAAGAATTTAACAAGAGAATTTCGATAAAGATTTCTTTTACTTCTGATCATGAAAAAAAGGGAATATGATAGTGAACAGCTGAGTCGTGATGATTAATGATAAGATCAAAACTTTTTTTAACCAAATTCTTTTTAAAACTGTTTAATAACCACTAGTTTTTGTAAACTTTATTAAACTATTCGGTCTTTGGCAAACCTGATATAGTTAAATGTCAATTAGCAGTCCCGAAAACGTAAATGAATTAATAATCATCTGAAAGGTTTAGACTTTTGTAGAGTTATCAACAGAATTTTACAAGATTTTATTCCAATCAATCAAGCATAGTTACTATGTTTCCTCGCTTATTTCTCGCTTTTTTTTCAAACTAACTTTATCGTTCGAAACTCGAGAGAGGAAAATTCTGCAAGTAATTTAATTTCTGATAACGGGGTTATACTAAGAACATAACAAAAGAACATTTATAAACTACAGGTAACTATCATAACATTATTTTTTAAAAAGAGACCTACATTCCAAAAGGACTATATAGTAATATCAATATTACAATATTTGACAGACATTGTGGCAATACCTGACGGTAGTTGAGCCAAAGAACGTCTGAGCTGACCGCGACGTGCATGGCTCAGTTGTTTTGGCCCATGGGTACCTAACATGAATGAGTCTTGATCGCAGTTCCCACCAGAGACATTGGGGGAACAAAGGAGAAAGGGGGCGAACAAAAGACCCAGATTTCTAGAGATCAAACACATGAGCAATAGATAAAACTACAGTGAGCTGGAACTTAAATAAGAAAAGTCATTTAGAATCACATGTTTGGACAATTTCTTAGGTGTAAGAACATTTGCCCACGAATGGGTTGTTTAAGAATACACACAAAATACGTTTCAAATAACAAATGCAGGGAAAAATAAAATGGATGAAATGCTTATGTAAAAATGCAAATTCAAATTGAAAACACTGAATAAAAACAAAATTAACAAAGGAAATACAATTTAAAAACAAACTAGCCCTGGAAGAGAAAAATTATATACAACAGACAAAGGAGAAAATTATCAGAATATTTTCAAAATTTTCAGAGCCTCGTACTGAAAAGTTAGGGAGGATGTGCGATTAAATACGGTAATATGAATTTTGTTTTCATGGTACTTATTCATAATCTGAATTGCTGATACTATTATTTCTGTTTCTTTCCCTTCCTTTCTAGGACGGTCTCAGTTGCTTCCTCGAATTTAGCCGAAGCAATAAGAGAAAGTCCTACAGAACAGATGGAGGAAAATGGAAATCAGAACCAAACTTTAGACGTTGCAATACCGCAGGAAAATGCTTTAAATAGCCCTCCACCAAGACCTCAAAGTGGAATCCAACAAACAGAAAACGAAGAAGTGCAGATACCTGTACCAACGCCCACGACTCCAATGCTTTCAGGTAAGGATGAAACTGGAACTATAAATGTAAGCGAAACTGATACTTCAAACAATACAAGTGCAGAAAGGACTACTAAAGAAGGTGAAACTGATGATACACTTATCAAAGCCAGCGAAGAAGCAAAACTTTCTTCAATTAATACACAAATTTCGGATAACGATATTATTCTAACGAATGAAAAAGTTATTAGTTCTGCCGAAGAAATTGAGAAGTCTAGTGATATTCAGCTGAATAGTGATGACGGTGATAGTATTGAAAAAGAAGAATCAGTGAAACAAGCCAGTGAGGATGAGAACGTCTTAGAATACTCCCATACTTCTTTTGATCACATAAATTCTAAAATGGGAAATGAAGATGTAATCGTCGATCCAATAAAGTTACTCCAAGGTGAAGGAGAGTCTCTGAAAAGTGCTGAAGAGAATGGAAGAGATCATTACGATGAAGGCTTCCACAGCGGCGAGCTTATGGCATCAGAAGAAGACAGCAATAGTATTGAAACATTAGGAGATTCTGGAATTAAAGATGAACATGATCTTGCAAAACCCATTCGAGCTGCGACGCCAATGCCAAGAAGTTCCAGTTTCTACAAGCCTTTGAATATGGACCTCGAAAGTAAGAAATCTGGATCTAAAGGAAAGCATGATTATAGACTACCATCCATTAGAAATTGGAAAGCATAGTCGTTTGTCTTTGTTTCTTAGAAGTGATATTTCAGTTTAGAAGCATGATACATTTGTTTACTTTTCAATAGAAGTGTGAATTTTTATAGTTGTTTGAAATCTTGCGAGCATAGATTTAGATGACATTTTAACTAATTTTTCAGTTTCGAAAATATTATAATTAGTTTAATTATAATCGTAATAATGTTAATATAATGTGCATGTAACTTTTATGCATGCTTGTTGTTATGAAAAATGAATGCTTTCCAGTCTCATTTTGCATGGTACATTTTTTTCGTTTTTTAAAGCAGAGTTCTTATTTTAACATTAGAAAAATAAATATGCTTCAAATGTGACGTATTTTATTTCCCTGAATCTCTAATATTACGCTTCATTGCTCCAACCAATTTTTTATTCGAATGAAGGCTTCAATGGGCTTTATTTATTCGTCGGGAAAAATGCAATAACTTTTGATTTTAGGAAACGGCCGAACACAGTTATGCAAATTAAGATCTAAAGGAAATAGGTTATTTTTGTTAACTATAATAATACACGAAATGAACCAGTGGAATTCTAAATTCTCAAGAGATTTAGCCAATTATAACTACATTTTAATCATGTTACTGTCGATGATTTGCATAAATAGTAGCAATGTCTTGGATTCAAAAATAGCCCTTTGATGAAAACGTTTTATGTAAAGTACAGTAGATATCGCTTATTGTTATCACTCGGTTATCGAATTACTGAAATCCTGCCCATTTGTATGCAAAAACATGGAAAATACATCGCTTATAGTGAACAACAAAGTGATTAATATGATCAAAATATTAAAAAATAAATTTTTGTAATTTAGATAAAGTTATAAAAGTTGAAAATGAATCATAAAAATTTTTAAGCAAAAAAAAAAAAAAAAAAAAAAAAAAAAAAAAAAAAAAATGTCGCCAAGTAAGGGATTAAGTCATCAAACATCTTAGTTTCGATTTAAGTCAATCATTTGAAACTAGGCAAAAAAAAACAACCTTAATCTCATGTAAACTTCGAATAACTTTGACAATTTTGAGGTTAATCAGACAGGTCTTCTTCGGGAACAAACGAAAAAAATCTTGCAGAATTTTCTTGTTCCTGAAATATGCTATTTTGACCTAATTTTACACAGTCTGATCATAATTTCTACAGGCCTAATTCGTTGTTCTATAAGTCACTTGTTTGCAGGTTTTGGTAAGGACAACTAAGCAATGTAAATACACACACTAGCCAATGAATTAGAAGCCCAAGATGAATATCTTATTGGAGCATATTTTGCACGGATAACTGCTCTGAATCGTTTGTTAATGGAGTCTACATGCTTCTGGAGTGCATTTACGTCCAGAGAATACCATGCATTGGCTATGCAAACTTTTCAGATCTTGTAAATAGGTGGAAGAGGAGAGTACTGTCGGATGCGTCTTTCCACTATATCCCACACACATTTTCTATGGGGTGCTAGGCTGGCTATGCGGTGCCCAAGGAAGGTGTTGGAAGTCAGACTGATGTTCAGCAGCGTACCAATTTTAACACTTCTGCCATGAAGTATATAGTTGAACTATTGTCCATGAAGTATCCGTCGCTATCAAAGTAAAAACGCAACATTTCATGGTGCACTTGATCTGCCAATATATCTAGGTGTCTCATGGCTGTTTGTTTACTCTCGAGGAACACCATGCCAGCAGAACATGCCCCATATCATGACAATCCCACCAGAGTCTTGCACAGGGCGAGTAAGGCAAGATGGATTCACGTTTCTAATGCTTAGACGTCCAGTGTTTTCTTTTCAGATCAGGCAAATATGCATTTGTAGAAAGGTTCCCGCGCGCGAAGCGCTACCCTTGTCGAACTGTGGACGATTTTCGAATGCATGTGGTTTCTAAAGTAATTTTGGCATATCATCTATATTATTAAATAATTCAAACAATGTTGAACGAAAAAGTTGATGGTACAAAAATAAAGTGTGACCGAGAAACAGACAAGCAACTACGACCGTGGCTGAACGACGTAAGACGAAGATGTGAGGCAGTGCGGAGTATTCCGTACATAAAAGTAAACACCAGTATTGCCGGAGAGTTCAGGAGTCCATAAGTGTGACACTCAAAGATATAATTTTAAAAAATTATACGACGAGAATATGACAGCAAAAGTTACATGCACATAAAAATACAATTGAAAAGTAAGGTATAACAAATATACAGAAATAAGAGTACATATGGTGCAGATATTATAATTCATACAGAGACATAATACAATAGCATATGGTATTTTAAAAAAAATTTATATATATATATCACAATTGATTATTTTAGGTGCCTTAGAACAGCTAGAGGCCTCTTTCTATTTTCTAATTTCCCTGACTTTGAAATTATAGTTAAGCATGGGTATTGTGGGATTGGAGACCTTTGGTATGCTTTTATAAAATTTGTGGGCCAGGGTGGCCATATACTCATGTATATATGGAATATTGAATTCGCGGTGGATTGCCGAGTTTTCTTTTCCGACACCACTACAAACGAATTCTTGCATTTCGGACAGAAATGAGTAGTTTTCCCGCAGGCACCAGACTATGCATTTCTATTCTCTGCGCATGGTTCGAACTGAAATCTGTTGGAATAGCCTTTGTTGACGATCTTTGTCAGTTGATGTACAATAGAGCCCCTGTTCTGTCGTAATATTCGTTTGGAGACGACGCCAATCACTCTGTTGAAAATCTGTGCTCGAACCACAGTTAAGTCTTCTAGAAAAGGACTGTGGGTTCTGGTTCCAACTTTTGAAAACCTATGATATGGCTGCTTTTGAGAACGCAATAAGATTTGCTGTCTTCGAAATGAAGGCTCCTGCTAAACGGGCACCAGCAATATGCCATTTTTCAAATGGTGAAAGATCTATCGTTTTTCCCATTTTATTTTATTTATCATGAAAAGCACTCTTACACCTTACTTATACTAACATTCTAAGCACGTGTAACCCACGTCATAAAATAAATTTACATTCTTCATCCCTAGTACGCACTGAAATGAAAATCTCAAAGGTTTCTAATTCATTGACCAAAGATTGTATTAAAATGATATTTTTAGAAGAACCTGAGCATTAATTTTATATCAGAGACTACCTAAAAATGCTTCTAAAAATTATAGCCTTGAATGTTCGTAACTTGAGACACCTTTTGTTATCCGAGGTGTTTTTTGTTCGGATAATTTGTTCGTTCTGAGAGGCTTTCATGATCCGAAGCTCTAGTAAATTATTACATCCGAATTAGGGGATTATATGTCAGAAGAAAAATGAAGGAAAAGTAGTATTAAATTCGAAGATAATCGTTAATTTATGTTGTAGTTTTGGATATATGTTATTTGACATGGCTAAAATCAAACGGTAAATGTACCAAGAATTTATTTTGCCTTCTGCAGAAATCATTTCGTCGATAATCATGCAAATCTGGGAATATTTTATTAAAATCTCTTAGTTTATCAAAAGCGTGCGATATTATGCTATCTCGATGACTTTTTATTCTATAATAATATAGCGCAAAAACAGAATAAAGTACTATTTCGGTTTTTCCGCCTGACCACCATTTAGAAAAAAAAAAAAAAACGAGTAATTCTGTGACAGAATTTGTATTTTTTTCGATAAGCCTTTTGATGAATCTTTAAAAAATTTTTGGTATTATTTTAATATGCCTTTATACGTTATATTTTCATTTCTTCATTTTATTTTTAATGTTATGAAATGCAAAACTATAGTTCATAACAAACTCGGGTATCCAAAGACACTAAGCTGAATATGTGCAAGCTATAAATTAAATTATACTGTCATGGGAAAACCAACTGATTTTATGAAAACTTCCTTCTAAATGCACTCGTTATTTCACAAGATAATGCATGCCATAGTTACTCTATATCATGTTCTTTATATCAGTGTTTCTGAAACTTTTTGTTATGGCGCCTTAGTTAATCTATCTGCTTTTTAATGCTCCCTACTCATTTTGTATGTGTAGATTATATTCAATTTGGTAGAAAGTTATTATAAATTTGTAAAATAATAAATAGCCTCATTCAACAATATTTTTTTAAGTTAATGATATGCATTACTGAAACCTCTTTCACTACATGCATGTAATTTAAAGGATGTCAACAACTTCTTGCCTTTAATCGCAAAGGGGAATAGCCAGTGGTGTAGCTAGGGTGGGGCAAGGAGGGACATCCGTCTCCGGGCGCAGCATCCAGGTGGCGCCAAATTGATGCTACGAAATTTTTTAATGAAATGTTTTCCATTCTTGGCACACAGAAAGGAGCGTAAATCCTTCAGTTGTCCCTGGGCTCTGGAATCCTAGCTACGCAACTGGGAATGGCAATCTTGTTATCCTCCCATCACTACCTCCAAGCCAGATTCCAAAGAAGAATTTCTTAAATTTGATTTGCATTTAATAAAGAGATCCTTCTGCAGTTAGTTAAATTAGGTGTTCTACGTTCAATGAGGTGTTCATTCATGTATTATCTTTAGTCGAAAATGTATTTACTTTCCAAACCAGTATCACCAATTTAATTAACGCAGACTTTCCTTGCTTACCTGTCAGGAAAATGCATGAAAAAGTCATTAAAAAACCGAAGGCCATCATCTAGTATTTTTATCTTCTTTCCCTATTTCCAATAGTTTCTAAACGGCTAAAACTCCTATCATTCCACGTTTCGCTTAAAACGTAACAATTTCATTAATAAATACCAATATTTCAAACTTGGCTAAAGTTTAATTCTCTGGATAACTGAAGTGTTCTCGAAAAGAGGCATGGGGCACTTTGAGAAATACTGCTTTACATGATAAGAGCAGTAATAAAAAGGAATACCAGAAATCAGGGTTTCTCAACTGCAGACTTGCAGCGGTCCTGGAAACCTGCACTTGTAGTCCTCCAAAATTAAAAATAAATTTTCAGTTATTTGAGATCGAAATTTAATGAAGATTTTTTATAATTTCTTGCTGATGATATATGGTAAGTACACTGGTATATTTTCAGATGTATTCTTTAAATTAAATGAATTAAACCTTCGTTTACAAGGTAATTCTTTGATTTTTCTTTATGCTTGGGAGAAACTAAAGCGGCTAGAAAAGAAACTTGGTTTGTAATGTTTCACCATTTGCAGCCCTAGAATCGTTTTTGGCAGAAAACTATATTGCTTTTGAAAGGAATTTTGCAATGGCATATATTTTCATCTCGAAACTCTAAGATCATGATTTTAAGCGTATTTTCCAATTAGATAAAAAAATTTTATGGATTCCTGATTCTTTCCATTGCGATGTTGAAAATAACAAACTGTCACTGAATGAAAGAGAACAGTAAACTGAACTCTCTAACCAGACTTAAAATGAACTTCCAAGCAGAACATACGGTTAATTTCTGGACCTCATTACCAATGAAAACGAAAGCAGTGAACTGAACAATGGGGCTTTGGATTTTAAGTCAATTACTTCTATGTGTCTGTTTAAGAAAGGGGTTTCATCACTAATTCAAACAGAAATATAGAACCGAAATCAACTTTATGTATGCGCCAATTTCAAACTTTAGCTTACCAGCCTACATCCAAACATAGAACAGCTATGCAATTTTCGACAGCCTCATCTATGTGATTAATGTGAGAACCAACATTTAGCTACTAATACAAACTTTAATAAACCTTGGAGCATTAAAAATAAATATAACTTTTCTTATATTGACTTAATTGATTAATATCAGTATAAAATTGAATACATTTTAATTAATTATATTTAAAAAAATATAAGCATACCCTTAGTAATATATACTAAAAATGGTTTCGAAGGGGACAAAACTGTGGTAGTCTGTAGAATATCCTTAATTTATAAAAGTGGTCCCCACTTGAAGAAAGCCTGAGAAATGCTACCATAAATATCTTCTTATAATGTGCTTAAAAACATGAATAATCAAATTTACGTCTGTCTTATATTTTAGTTTTCCTAATGAACTGCAGTATCTTTCTCACTTCTTAAAAGCCACAATGCACCTGCCAGTTCTCGCCTATTTATTATCCCGTTTCACAAATCATTTGGTGATATTCTTTAGATTTTTTGCAAACTATACTTAAGCATTCAAATACTAGCGCTCACATTCTATGCTAGATAGCCTTTCTGTGCGACAGCCACATATTGATATCTTTGCAATAGTTTAAATATTCTTAGTTGACATTGCTATAACCTTCATTGATTCGTACATTTACCCAAATGATTTTATTAAATAATGCCTGTATTCCACACTTTTTCGTAAAATTTTTTCCGGTAACGAAATAGGTCCTATAATACAATTATGAAATTAATATTTCATAAATAAAGTGAATGAAGCATATATATGTATTTTTTTCCTTCCAACTTCAGTAACGGATTTGCAGAAAAGGGCGGAAGAATTAAGAGCAGAACGCAAGCTGAAAGAATTAAAAAGAGATTCTTTACTGCAGAAAGTGAGAGACCTTCAAAGACGAAAAGTTTCGACAAAAGATCAAGGTAAAGAATTGTGTATAATTATTAATTCTCGAGTTAACTTATTGACATACGTCCTCCAACAATCAATTGCTGCACAATAATGTATTTTAACGTAAACAAATTTCATTAGGAAAATCACTGATGAAAGCCAGAAATTTTTTTGACATTTGAAATCTCAGTAGCTTAATCTTTCTGTTTTTCGCTTTCCGTTTCATCAAGTTGGTGTGACAAACTGTCTCTCTCTTTAAACGGTCTAATAACTGTTAACAACACCCAGATTTACATTACACACTTTAGCAATGTCTCTTTGTGTCATTGAAGAGTATTCACATAAATGTCACTTACTTCTTTTCTTCGGAGTGAGGTCCATCATTTTAAACTTGTAATACATCTTTTTCAATATGTAATACAGTCTAAGAAAACAAAACCAAAACAAAAGACGTACAAAATAGTAAACGGTGACAGTAGATTAACTGTAAATTAGGTTCTTCGAAACTCATGAAATTGAATTACGTGAAAATTCCCTCTTATTCACATTAATTTGCACACTTCTATATGTATTTTCCAAGTTTCGGAAAGGAGGTGGGGAATGATTTAGCTCTGGTGTGTCATGTCGCGAATTTATTTAAGTTATTATTATTCTAATATTTTTATTTGTATTCATGTGTATTTTAATCTGGAAAAAAGTATTCCTAGGCTCTTAAGGTGTTGTTTAACTTGTTGTTCTTGAGTAGGAATTGTAACTAAGGCGGGAAACGGTTGCGGGAGCCATCTGGTTTATGGCTTTTACCAACAATGGAGGCAGTTGGGAGTCGTGTGTCGCCCTATTAACTCTTGGCGTGTGAAACGGAAATCGCTTTCCTGTCGCTTTGTTAAGGTCGCAGTTTTCTTACTTCAAGACAGTGGGTGGTTAAAGTAACCTTGGGTAATTGGATTCTCGTGGAGCTTATTTTTCGCTTGTTAGTTGGGGGGTCTGTTTTTTTTTCTCACGTTGTGAGTACAGATGTTTTTAGGATTGCATTGTCAAATTTTCTGATGTTTGATTCGTCATGGGTGTGTCATTTTTCTCAATTTAGATAACATAAAATTTCGGGATTGGTAAGATTTAATTTTATGATTTTTTTGAAAGCCTATGAACTCACAGAGGCGGAGAAACCGAGATTTCCTGGGTGCTTGCACCAGGCTAGAGATCATTCTGCTTCAGATTTTTGAGCGAAAAGGAAAAGGAGAAGCAGAAAGTTTTGCGGGGCTCCCCCTTTGAGGCGAGCTTTATACCAAGCTGGGCTGCGGTGGTGATGGCTTTTAGCGGAGTCTGATGATTTGAGTGAATTTTGAGGCAGCCGCGAATGTGGAAAGAGAAACATAAGATCGTAAGGGCGCTTTGCTCTGCTGCGGGCTTCCTGAGCCACAGGGGGACTGGGTAGCCGTTTTTCTTTGCTCTAGCGGATTCTTCTGTTCTGTGAGATGTTAAGTTTTGGGTGAGAGATGCAATAAACATTTTCCTGGGAGGTGTCTAAAGAAATGTGCGCGAGCTGCAAAGAGCATTTTTACTGAGAGCTGATTGAGATGTATAGAGGAGAAAAATCTACCAAGAAAGCTCAGCACAGAATTTCTCTATTCACCTGAATCGCCGGTTAATCTCCAAGAGCCTTTTTCCGAAACATTGAGCATAAATGTTGCCTCGCCGCTTCGATAATGCGCGTGATTGTGCTAAAAAAAACTGGTGTATATTCAGCTACCTGTTATTGAATTAAAAAAAGAGCCTTCTGAATTGGACTATTGGTTCCCACCTAATGGACGGACAAAGATCCTTCTGAATTGGACTATTGGTTCCCACCTAATGGACAGATAAAAGATCCTTCTAAATTGGACTATTGGTTCCTACCTAATGGACAGATAAAGCGATTCCTGGCTGTTTGAAGAATTATTAGACTGTAATTTCCACTCTTGATCCCTAATGATTTTTAGACGCTTCAAGAAAGGGTTGTCACAGAAAGAAAAATGGGCTTGGCTCATTTCCATGTGGATTGGACACTAAGGATCCTGCTATCAGGAAAAACTGTTTTCCATCTGTGAGTGAAATTTTTAAGTATATTTTCTCTCTCTCTCTCTTTCTTAGTTTTCCCGAATGCAGAACAGTTAATAATGTTTTATCTACCGGTATCTTGTTATTACTTATATAAATTAAATATTACAGTTAGAAAAAGTGAGAAGTTATTTATAATTTCAAGTGAATGCCAGTTTTAGGAGGATTAAAATTTGTTACACCTACTTAAAAACAAAATAATGTTAATCTTAATTAATGTAAGCTGTAATTTGGTGTAGTATTATGTGTTATTTTGGCTTAGAAAAATATGTGGTAGGATACTGATCAGTTATCCATTATTTAATTATATAAAATAGTGAAGAATTTAATAAATGTGTGCTTAAAATTTAATTACATTTGTGTATTTATGTTGTATACATTTTACTGTGGTCTGTCATGTCCCTCCATTTGTTTGAGCCGGAAGGCTTTTAAGAAACATGGAGTTTAAATGAATTTGGAGTTATTGATTTTCCCTTTACATAGGTTACTCACAACGCAAACCTAAAAAGTTAAATTGTACTATTACTATATGATTGATTGATAGATTTACTATACGAATGTTTATAAGAATGTCGAAATGATATATGAATATTATGAATTAGATTTTGAATGTGAATTATTTGATATTTGATTTTTTTTTTTGATTTATCCAGCACCACAGTCAGTCAGCAAAGTTATCAGTTAAGTTTAAGCTATAAAGGAATAAAAGTATTTAAAACACCAACATAATTTTTTTCTATATAACAGGTGAAATCGGTGAATGGGGGCAAAAACATTTAAGAGCTAGTGCTCTAGAAGTAGGATTACACTACATGAGAAATACCGTCTATACCTTGCGTATTTTCACCCTTACTTGCCGGATTTATTGCACGAAAATCGTTTAAGATTAAATTATGCGAATAATTTAATCTCAAACGACGCAGCTATAATAAGAACATAACAAATTACAAATATTTATGGATAAACTACTAGCATCTATCACAATATTATTTATTTAAAAGAAACTACATTCCAGTAAGATTCACTTAATAATACTAACTTTACCAGTATTTAATATAATATCTTCATTTCAACTTCGTAAATCATCAATCTTGCCCGCTCTTATTGTAGTCACAGCTACTTCCTACGCCTCAAATCATTTAATGTTGCTAAAACTGCTATCTATGTGATCTGCTGCAGCTTGCAAGTCATCACAATCTTCACCGTTATCGTCTTTCAGTCCTATGTGCAATGATCTTTAGTACCACCATGAGCATTGGATATCCCCATTTTCTAAAAGTTCTTCCCTTCACTAAATATTTCAGATGATCTATAAATACATATGTTGTATATTTGCTTTATGTGTTCGTAAATATTTCCAAAGTGTCCTTGAGAGCGATTTACGAACATCGTATATAAATATATAAAAAAGGCAAGCATATTTTTATGAAGATCTACAGTTATGTGATACGTTTTAGGTGCACTTTTAGAATATGTTCTTTATTACTCGGAAGTGCTATCAGTATCACTATTCACCCAGCTATTGTACGCTACAGAACTGTAATACTCTATATTGGCCAACGAATTGGAAACCTAAGATCAATATTTTATTGGACCACCTTTTTCAGGGATAACTGCTCTGACTCGTTTGGGCATCGAGTCTACATGCATCTGGAGTGCATTTACGTCCAGAGAATACTACGCATTTGCTATGCAGCCTTTTAATCTTGTAAATTAGATGGGAGAGGAGTGTGCTGTTGGATGCGTCTTCCCACCATATCCCACACATTTTCTATGGGGTTAAGATCCGGCGGTGGCTAGGGAAGGTGTTGGAAGTCAGACTGATGTTCAGCAAACCAATTTTGAACACTTCTGGTAAGATCTATAGTTGCATTATCGTCCATGAAGTATCCGTCGCCATGAGGGTAAAAATGCAACATTGCAAGGTGCACTTGATTTTCCAGTAGGCTGTTTGTTCACTCTCGAAGAACCACCAGGGCACCACTTCAGTGACAGCAGAGCATGTCGCACATCATGATACTTCCACCAGACCTTTGCACAGGACGAGTTAGGCAAAATATGGATTCATGGCTTCATGGAGTTCTCGCCGAATTCGACGCCTTCCATCAATGCAAAATAAGATGTGATGTGATTCATCTGAGCACATTACCCGTTTCAAATACTCAGATGTCAAGTGTCTTGTTTCTCGACACCACTGCAAACGAATTCTTGCATGTCGGGCAGAAATGGGAGGTTTTTCTCCCAGACACCCGAATATTCATTCCTTTTCTCTGCAATTCTCTGAACATGGTTCGAGCTGAAATCTGTTGGGAAGAGCGTTGGTTGGCGGTCTCTGTCAATTGAAACAGAGTGTCCCTGTTCTGCCGTACAATTCGTCGGAGACGACACCGATTACTCTCTTGGAAAAATATGCTCGAACCGCAGTTACATCTTCTAGAGAAGGACTGTGAGTTCTGATTCCAACTTTTGAAAACCTTTGATATGGCTGCTTTAGAGAACGCAATAAGATTTGCTGTCTTCGAAATGAAGGCTCCTGCTAAACGGGCACCAGCAATAAGCCATTTTTCAAATGGTGAAAGATCTATCGTTTTCCCAATTTTATTTTATTTATCATGAAAAGCACTCTTACACCTTACTTATAATAGCATTCTAAGCACGTGTAACCCACGTCATAAAAGAAATTTACATTCTTCATCCCTAGTACGCACTGAAATGAAAATCTCAAAGGTTTCTAATTCATTGACCAGTGTATGTATTAAAATGATATTTTTAGGAGAACCTGAGCATTAATTTTATATCAGAGACTACCTAAAAGTGCTTCTAAAAATTATAGCCTTGAATGTTCGTAACTTGAGACACCTTTTGTCATCCGAGGTGTTTTTTGTTCGGATAATTTGTTCGTGCTGATTTGCTGTCTTCGAAATTGAGGCTCCTGCTAATTGGTCACCAACAATAACCACGTGTAACCCACGTCATAAAAAAAAATTCCTTCTTCATCCCTATTACGCATTCAAAGGAAAATTTCAAAGGTTTCTAATTCATTGGCCAGTGTGTGTGTATATAGACTTATTTCAGAATCTTCTTGTAGAATGCTGTACGAGCATTTTTCACAGAATTGTCTTTAGACTTTATATGAGACTGTCTCTGATACAGGCAGCTGACGTGCTTTTGTGCGTTATAGATTTAAGAAACAGACATGATTTAAAACTTTCTGATTGGAACATTGTATAGAGGTTTTTTATAAAACATTCTTTACACATTACAAGTGTGTCATCAACACCGGTATCAAACGTGCTACTGCCCGTTTTAAAACTATAACATATAGACATATAGACTTGATTTAAAACGTTGTATGGATGTTTTTCACACATTATACGAGGGTGCCATTAACACCAGTATTGGATGCGCTATCACTTGTTTTAGAACTAACATACAGAAGTTATTTAAAACGTTCTGATAGAACGTTGTATGGACATTTTTATAAATCATTCTTTACCCGTTACATGAGAGTGCCATTAACGCCGGTATTGGACATGCTGTTGTCCGTATTAAAACCGTAACATCTCGACCTGATTTGGAACGTTTCCTCTGGACGCTCCCTACACATTCGTGAAACATTTGCATTGAACGTTCTATGAACGTTCCGGTGGGATCTTATTAATCACATTTCATGCACCGAAAATCTATAAGCAAATCAATGAGTAAGAAGAAAACAATCATGGATGGAACTATATAAAAAATAATGGCAAGTTCCCTTTAGGAACCCCTTGAGGAAGGGGAAAATTAAACGAATACTCAAATAATTTCAGAACCTTGCGGTAGAAAACAAAGGGAAAATACGTGAGTAAATACGGTAATATTTGTTCACGATATCCTGTAAAGTAAAATCATGTTATCTTATCGAATTCAATTCCTTGTGGGCACGCTTCATTAGTTTTTCTTTTTAATTAATGATATTTCTACAAGTCATCTGTCTTATGAACACTTTAAGCTTTTCATCCTGACGACACTACCGTATTCTCCTCCCCTAGTTTTGCAGCTCTAGGTTCTAAAAACTTTTCAAATATTATTAAGATACAATTTCATATATAAATTTCAAATATTCTCAGCACTTTCTCCTTCTTCTATTATACATAGTTTTTCCCCTCTTCGGGCTAGTTTATTCGCAAATGGTATTCCTTTGATTATTTTTATGTTTATGCAGTATATTAATTTTGCATTAGCATTTCATCTATTTTATTTACCCCTGCATTTACAATTTGAAACGAATTTCGTGCAGATTCTTCGCTATGTTACCCGGATGTAGCACGCGTTCTCCCGCTTAAGAAACTTTTCAAATTTATGATTTCATCTTATGTTTCTTATTAGCGTTCCAGGTGATTGTAAACTTATATTCTGCTAATATGTTCGCTCTTTTGAAACCTAGATCTTTTATTTGTCCCTTTTCCTTCGTCCTCCAAGGTCTCTCTTGGGAACTGCGGTCAAGACTCATTTATGTGAGGTGCCCCTGAGGTTTTACAAGAAAATTCAGATCAGCGAGACGTATCCGACTCAGTTACCGCCAAATATTGTAATGCTTTGTGTTTTATTGGAACGTAGGTTTCTTTTAAAGAAATAATATTGTGATAGCTACCTGTGGTCTCTGACCGTGAGTACTTTTCATTTGTTATGTTCTTACTATAACCACGATCTTAGGAAATTAAATTACTCGCAAAATTTTACTCTCTCGATTTTCGGACGAAAAAATTAGTTAAAAAAAGAGAAAAAATACGCGAAGAAATGCAGTATTTCTTGTTAACTCGAATCATTGTTAACAGAAATGGACATCCCTATATAAACGCGTCTAATTTAAGGATCCTTAAATGTTCTGCCAGTATCTTAATTCATTTTCGTTAACAAGATGTTGCCAGTAAATAAAGTATCAACAAAAATATACAATTATGACTATACTACAAATTAAATTTTTGACCTTTGCATTATTGCCCTGATACGCATATTATACGTATGAGATTAATTACTGATTTTTTTTTTTTTTTTTTCCTTTAGCTCGAGAGGAATGGAGAAAAAGGTTTCTAGAGGTAAAGAAGATAACACCCCGGCTGGAAGACCACTGCAGCAAGTTACGGCAAGAGCTAGAAAAGCTAGTAAAAGATATGCTGGTCAGCATAAAAACCGATCCTGATTCCAAGCCACACAAACCATCCAAAAAAGTATGAAATTACTGTTTTGAAAATTATAGACAAAAAGAGTACTTACATATTAGTGTAACCTACTTGGGGATATTTTAGAGAAGAAAAAAAACTATTCCTTATGTACATAATAATTTATTCCGTAAAGAATGTCTTATAATTACAAAAAATCATTTATTACATATGCTTTTATTATTATTAGCCCAAAGGGGCAGTTTGTCCAGAAAGGCTATTCATTTCGTTTTGGCATTTTGCGTTGATTCACTATAAACGGTGAATCACTTTTTTAATTGTTGCTAAGAAATATTAGAGCCCTGTATTGTATTTAAATAAATTAAATAATGAAGAATCTGCATAAATCTATGTATATTTCTGGCATTGTGATAAAACAACGGTACCTAGAGCCATCAAATTTTGAATAACGTACATCTCCATCCGAATATGGACATCTGGTAGCCAAAATTTGGAATTCTTTGCATTACCTATTTCATATTTTGTAAAGCATTTATGAGTTTTTGATTAAAAAAAGCAACGATTTCAAAGCGAGCAATGGCAACACTGTACGAAAAAAAAAATACATAGGTGCGCGAGACTGTGTATATAGCAAATACAAAAGATATGCTGGTTTCAATAGGTTGTGATATTGCTGTTGAATTGAATTTTATGGTTTAAGTGCGAAGAACATGATATTTAATAAATAAAGGCAACATACAAAACATTAAGAAAATGTCCCTTTGGGCGTAATTATTAATTTTCTACTTATATATTAAAATTGTTATAAACATTTTAATTTATTCCAAAAATCAATTAATAAACCTATTTACAAGCTCTTTTATTTCTCCTTCTCCTAGTAGAAATTTCATGGCAGTCGCTTTAAGAATGCATTCAAAGCATTTATTCCCTTTAACGATTTTGCCAACAAACTCTACATTCTTGTAGAAATTATACCGTAAATTTCTTCCACGCGAATTAAATCACGCAAGCCATATTTTAAAATTGAGACAAAATGTACCACTATTTCTCGATAAAAACTCTTCAAATACAACTAAAGGAGCGTATATGAAAATGGTGATATTATTTGATAAAATTAACGAATTATTGTGAGCATTGTTGCCTCATACACGTGGTTGCCAAAGTTTGGCACGGAAAATTCGGCGACTTTTCTACTGCGGAGGTTTACAAACAATATCACTATTTTTCTATAATTGGATCTCTAATAAGGAAGTACCACAAAAAGTTGACAGTCGAATTTCAGTAAAGAATCACCCCTAAGAACTGGATAAAAATGATGTCCGTCGACAGCGCTGACGAAAACCCCGCAGATAAAAACAACAAAGGAGCAAAACATAGTAGGTACAAAAAAAGCAAGGAGAAAACATCGCAGTTATAAAACATCGATATAGAAAATATTCTGATAAAAAATAAAGCACCCCGAATCAGCGCAGATATATTTTTTAGACTTTAAAAGTCTTATATGCAGGTTCGCTTAATGATTTGTGAACAGAAGAGGAAATGAGGAACATTTTTCCTCTCTTTTCCTGTTTTTAAAGAATTCAAAATTTATGCATTTGAATTACTGCATATGGAGCTTTAAAAAATCCAAATCTGAAAATGTGTAGAAATTAAAGCTACATGTAGCAGCTAACAGAATTGTAAACTTACGTAGTTAATTATTAAAAGTCATTAATTAATCTCCTTTATAAAAGTAGTAATTTTCATAAAATATATAGCATAAAAAAGACTGGCTGAGACTATTTATATTAAAATTGCTTATTTAATTATCAAATTGCATGCGATGTTATTATGGATGATTTGTAAGGGCGTATAACATTAGGGCGCTTAATATTATTTCAAGTCATCAAGAATCTATAATAGGACCAACAGTAATTGGAAAAACTTTAATAAATTAATAAATTCTATGGCAGAAAGAATAGCGGAATGTGCAATGTTATATACTCAGAAAAAGCAATGAATATTCCTCTGGATTGTGTATGTGGGGAGGGAGAGAAAGGAAGTATTGTTAATAAAATTCGTGTTTTTATAGAACATCGTATTCTTTTAATTTGGAGAGATCTTTTAAGATAAGCTATGAATTTTTTTTCCTAAGAATTTTTTTTCACAGCACAACGTTACACAAATGCTTCTTATTTTTAATCTTGGCAAAAATTATTTAAGTATTGAAGGAATTTAAAAGAAATTGTTTAAAATGTTCAAAACACATACAGTATTTCTTCCATATTCTCCCTCTTAGTTTTTTAGCATCATGTTCTGAAAATTTAAAAAATGTTCCAATCATTTTCTTCTTCCTGAATACGTTCGGAGAACGAGCTCCCTTAAATTTTAAAATGGATTCGTTCCCGTAGTGTTACTAACAAATGCAAACCCTCCTAAACTACCTGAGAAAGTGACGTCGAACCTTTTTCTTCTACTTCTTGAACTTTATGCCAGCCTAATACAAGCACCGACCCATCTTATAGAAATAAACATGAACTGACATTCAGTCTACGATTTTGCGAAATCAGCTGCACATTCGCCTTCTCTAATTATTTATGGACGATTTGAGGCACAAAGAGTAGACATATATGGTGTTGGCGTACACTATACTGGAGGGGTACACGGCATGGGCACCAATACGTAAAGTAATCTAAGCGTCGACATTTTCATTTGCACCAGAAAATCTTCGAAATATATGCATTGTTCGCTTGGTATTGTGTCAGATATAAAGATAAGTACTTTGTTGTGAATGATAAGTAAAAAAAAAATTATCAAGCAGATACGTTTGTTTTGACCATACCTGAAATCTTTAAAGCGTACACTATTAATTCTGTGAACTGTTATAGACTTTTATTGAAATATAGTCAAGAAATAATAAAAATTAGTACTTTTATAATTTTCAAGAAAAGCGAGTAAAAACTGCATTCTTTTTTAATACAGCTAACCGTTGAGCGGCCAGCCGCATAAAATTGTTAAGCCCAATTCACACCAACTCGATTACGCGTTCGACCGGAAAGCATTGACTAATCAGAAGCAAAGAATATGTATTGTCAGAAGCAATCTCGGAGGCGGTATTTTCGGGCGACAGGAAACCGCGTGAGTTGACTTCAACTTTTTGCCGCTTGATGCATCAGTTTCAGGCATCTCGTTTCAAATGTTCAGTTTATCCCATGGTTTTTAAATGATTGCACTTTCAAAAATTCTTCTTGAGGGGGGAAAAAAGTCAAATGTGCTAATCTTAGTAAAAATTTCAGATAATAATAAAGAAACGCATATGCTAATAGAATAGCTTTATAAATTATTTAAAGGAAAATTATCAAGTTTATTAGCAGTAATAAACAATAATCAACCATAAATGGTATATGGTTGATAGTTTCTACATACTAATCTAAAGCAATAGATTGTTGCGAGAAAATTGTCATGGATTTCGTTGCTCTTGTTGCCTAATGAATAAAACATTGGCTTCTGGAATTAAAGATTTTGGATTCAAGCGTCACCAACAGTGGTGTTGTAATGGAGTTGGTATTTTTTTTTTTTTTTTAAATATTTACAGAAAAATTTCAGAGCGTGTAGAGTAGCCCAAATGCTTCTTCAGTTACCTGAAGGTGAAAACCATATTTTCCTGCAAGACACCGTAACGCGGAGGTAACACGCTCATTAGAAAAATTTAGCTGGTACTGGGGACTTGTATTGTGGGTACGGGCCTTGCTCTTTTTCCCACGTTTGATGATAGTACGAATACACCAATTTTTTAATCTACCAATTCTTTAATCTTTTATTACTGACTTTTGTTTGGGGGAGGGGAGGAGACAAGAAGCTTGCATTTATTTTTCATTGATTATAAACGTAATTTTCTCTCGGCATTGTGTGCATTATCTTTCTTTTGACAACGAGTCTTTAGCACAAAATGCATAAGATGATCTGATTCTATTTGGACTGACACGAGACTAGCAAAAGAGATACCGATATTAGTATAAAGTTACTGTTTTACCTAATTAAAAAAAAAAAATTAGTGAGTTCTGAATTTTAACCGAGTGGTGACGAATAAACCATCTGTTTAAAAAATTAAGGAAACTATTATTTATACAGAAAAGAAGCTTGCTAATATGTGGCTGATTTTATGGAAAATTTCTAGACATTTTAATGGCTTCTTATTTGTTTTTCTGAACATGCATGACCATTTTCAGACAACTTATATATGAACTTAACCTGAGGTTTAATCTTAATAATTTTCCATTAATTTAAAGAACTTTTACATGAACATTAGCAAATTTTCTAATTGGGGAATTCAATTTTTAACGTAAAAAAAGAAGTATTATATAAAATGCAGTTACTTCAATGAGTTTTAGACAAAAGTGACTTTATAAAAGAAACATTTAGATAGTGGCTCTTTATTAATATATAAATGACTAATTGAAGTAATTACAGTTACATTTAAGGTAAAAAATATATGTACATATGGCAGAAAATAAAACGTTTTTTAAAATTGTTGTTTATTAACTTAAAAATGAATGCTTCTTTTAAATGTGATATTTAGTTTGGTAATGCTGTAAATTCTACATAGATTTAAACAAAATATACTTTTTATTGTATTATTTAAACCAAATAAGGGAAGTTCCATACATCATGCAAAACATTTTATAGTATTCTACCCCATGAAAAGTTCACTCTCTAAAATAGAATCATGCAATTATGAATTTTTAATTATAATTCAACAAAATTCATAAATAAAGTAAAATTATATATATATATATATAAATACAATGATCCTTTTCCTATATTCTAAACGATTCTTTTCTGTGCTATTCTGACAAATATTACTGCTGCTTTTTGATAAACGGTTCAATGAGGGCTAGAAATTTACCGAATTGATGAGGTATAATGCGAAAGTAATTAAAAGAAATTATGATGTGTTCAATTGCGTTTCTTCAATTAAGTTATTTGCATCTCCTTGTTGGAATAATCTCTCACATAAAACACTGCATTCTGCTTCTCTTACATAAAGCAAGAAGTGAAATAATTTAATC